GGGTGTGGGCCACATACATTGTTTGAAAACATAATTGATTCGCCTCACGTGGCTATGTCTCAGAAATATCAACATAATTAAGATAAGAAAATAGGTACCAACTATAAATGTTGCCTTAGGTCATCCATATCTTCATTAGTTAGGACTATCTTCTTTTGGTCGATGGGGTCATATATATCTGTCATAGTGGAAAGTATGTTTGGCCTAAAATCAATAGTTTCAAGTTCGAAACTCCTAATCCTATCTTGGTGAAGTAGGGCTAGGTGAGCTAGCTAGCTAGCAGAACTCTTATTTTGCTGCAAATAATGCAAAATTAGTGATGAGAGATTACTTCAAAATTCAATTATACATATATTGGATATTGCTTTGTTGGAATATTATATATGTGTATAACATAGAACTTGGTGTTTCTCATATAACAACTATGAAATAATCACTAGGAAGTATTCTCGCTTATCTGACTCCATGCACGAACAACCTTGAATATATAATATAATATAAGGAGTTGGATATATATTAATAGTTGGAAGATTACGAATGTTGATTATTAATTAGTTGCAGCTTTCCTATTATATGGAGAGTAACTTTAGGTATTGAATAACGAAACTTCAGTACATATGCATCGCTTATGAACCTGTCTGGTTCAGACGAAGGGAAAGAACTTGCATCAGTAATATTTCAATTTCAATGAAAACACATGAGTTTGATTTGCACTACATGAGAAATAATTAACATACGGAAAAGAGGAAAAAAGGAATGGGGTCTTTGTCTAAAGAAATGCCCGGAGAAAGGACAGATGTATTTTCAAGAATACGTATTGTGAGTTTCTGTTTATGTTTAGCTTTGTGTTACTTATGAACGCAATGTAATCTACATATTAAATCACACATCTGAAGCAAAAGTTGTAGGACTATACAAACGGGTAAGTAACTAAAATTCTAACTAAATAAGGACTTGCCAACAACAAATTTAATGGATTCACGAGAACTTATGACATCGAATTAATATTAGCATTGAATATATAGACCAGATGTACATTACTTGGAAATGACAAAGTGTCGCAAGTAGCACTAATAGTTAGCTCCTTTACAATCGCTAACTGGTTAGTAAGTTCATGCGGCACACACCACTTATTTGGGCCCACTTTACTATGTCATCTCATGATCTAAACCGGTAATTTGTTAGGTCATTATTCAAATATCTCCCTCACAAAAAATCAGCCAAATCGAACAAAGTTTTGCCACTTGATTAGCTTCGTGATTATTTCATTGTTTATACGTAAGGAATATGTGGCGAAAAAGATTATACATATGATATATGAAAAGTTATTAACGATGAACTTACTGGCCACCAAAAATAACAGCTGATCAGAGCTCATTTCTAGTAATTTGATGCTTATATTTATGGAATACAAATATCACAATTGATATTCCTAGCTAAATGGACAACCAAAAAACACAAAAGCTTTCCTCATCTGAGAACGTTAAACGTCCGATTTAAAGCGCACAAATGACAAATATTTAAGAAATTATATATATATGGATGTGGGCACAAAGTTACCTAATTATATATATTTGTGATAGGAGAGAACGTGATTCTATGATCATGGAGCTGAACGAAAGGACGTGACACCATAAAGAAAGTTGCGGTTCCAATCTCAAAACCAATTGACAATGGAAGAGCATCCCAAATATCTCAATCAAACACAAATTTCACATATATACAGATTTTGCAAAACTCTCAGCCATACCAGGCCACGTTAAGTGCCTGGAGCTGGAAGGTCGAATATCTACAGGGGATATAAACACATCACACCAAACTTTTACAAAGGATATCAGTTCTCCCAGTACCTTGTTTGAAGTCAGCTGGCTGATCATCATAAGTTTTTTGTCAATCTCTGTTGGAGCTCAAACATATCAATGCATTTCCCATCACTCACCTGTGTATTTACACATCAAATATGAGCAGGGAATTAGATGGTATTGATGGAGAAATTTTCTCTTGTTGCTTTGCTTTGCAATGTTAGTTGAAATTTACAATCTGACAATATAAGTATTTGTCTGGTAGCACTAAGAGAACATTAGTCATGGTTGATAGGTAAGACATTTTTTTTTATACAAGCGATATTATAGAGGACGGGGGAACTCAAAAACAGAAGAACTGTGTTAACCACTTGAGCTACAATTTCCTTTGCAGTTAAGATATTTAAGTAGCTAAGAAAAGAAAAGTGGCAAATTAAATCCTTAATTGAAGTTGAAGTGAAGAGATTGATAAACAATACCTCAGATTCAATCGTATAAATCAACTTTTCATTTACTTGTGCTGAGATGCAGCTGATTGTGCTAAGTCCTTCTTCCTTCAGAATCTCGAGCAGTCTTGAAAGAGTAAGCCCTTGTTTCATGGGAGTATTCACCACAACCTCCACCCCTACTTTACAAGTTCTAACCAATACTACAGACTCCTTCATTGGAGTCTGGGAATTTTCCATTGTTACTGCAGTACTTGTACTGGAAGAGCATGAAATATTGCACGACCTTTTCAGCCCATCCCTCTTATTATGCAGCTCTTGGATATTGCTTTGTAGATGTTTTATGTAAATCGCTGTCTGATGAACATGATCAGATATAGACCTATTTCCCTGAAGCCATAGATTACAAAATATATAAACCAAAAACACTAAACAGAAGGATTGATATATAAACCAAAACATATATGTATATACTACATATATACAAAGGTTTTACATAAACTTTGCCATAGAAAAAGAATTCTTATAGTCTAAAAAATCCCTAATTTGAGATAGCATTATACTTAAAATTAACAATAATTCAAACCTAAAAAAAACCCACATAGTTCTTAGTCTCCTAACAACAATTGTCATCATAAATACAAACTCAGTTCTGAGAAAGTACAAACGAAATTTGTGAAGTCTCCAACCGAAAAATGTTGCCAATGCCTCTAACCGTCGCGATGACATGTTATGTTACTAGATTTCGTAGCAAGACCGTTGATTACTCGAATTATCCAGTACACACTGCTGATTAACAGTTGTATATGAATCCCGAAATTTGACATTATTTGAGAAAATTAAGTAGCTAGCTATATTGGACCGTACGTTGAGATATTCAAGGGGAAGTTGTGATCGAAGAGATGCATAAAGGGTGGCCATTTCTTGTCTTCTTTGCCGTTCAATGTCTCTATGCATGATCTTCTTATTGCCCTTTGGGTTTCGCTCATCATCAATTTCACCAAAAGTGATATTGGATGAAGATATTGATGCCTTGCGCTTCTGACCAGATTTTGGCCTGCAAGTGAGATCACAACCATCTTGAGATGGAGACGGTGGGAGTGCTTGATTTTCTTGGGTTGTGTGCTCTGTGTAGGGAAGGCAGGAGATTTGGAACAGCTCATCAGCTTGTTGTAAAGCTTGGTCAAATTGGAGTATATTGGAAGGAATATAATCCATGTTTAAAGCTCCGAATCTCTATTTTCTCTATTTTCCAACTTGCATTTCATCGACTTTATACCGACCTCCCAGCGCGCTCTATTATAATTAAAAGGAAAAAAGAAAACATACTTGAGATATGTTCATTTTGGAATGAGATCTTTGATGGGGCCTAGGGTTTCAAGATTTTTCTGGAAATTTTATTACTGGCATGGTGATATAGCAAGTGACCTCATTTCAGAGCTATATAAAGCAGATTAATTTTTTAGTCAAAAGAAAACTGTACATCTGGAGACTAATAAAGATATGCCTAACTAAATTCACATGCAGCAATGCTGACTTGCTGACAGGGAAATGGGCTAGCTGCATATATATAGAATGGAGTCTCATATATACTGTATATCATCACGTAGGAAAATATTAGAAAGAACACATTTATCATGTATCACATCTCTTAGAGATGTGACTCTGATTGTTTGAGTAGGCTCCACTTTTATTAAAAAGATGGTACACAATGTGATATATAAATATGATTTTCTTAATATTATTCGGTCCCAAATTCTAATCATTTTGTGATCGTACGTATATATAAAACCAAACAATAACACCTATGTACCACATCTCTAACTGATTCTATGGGATAGAGGTGGTACACATGGTATATAAACGTGATCTTCTAATATTATTCGGTCCCAAATTCTAATTATTTTGTGATGTACGTATATGCAAAATCAAACAAAATAATGAAATTATAATTTATTTGAAGGTCCTACTGAGGTCTAAATCATTATATGATTGTTATACACCTGTCCAGGATAGTAACTGCTGAACGAGTCAGCTCACCAAATGGATTTGAAATTAGAATATCTTAGGCATAAGAAAAACGAGTGATGGATTGATTAGGAAACCCAAACAGTATACGAAGAAGAAATCTTAGAAAACGTCAAGATGGGAGAATTTATATTATTAATTAAGTTTTAATTCTTGACTTGTAAAATTATAAGTTACCAAGCAGAAAAAAAAAAACCAATGGAAGCTAGTAGAGGGTTTATGTTAGGGCACCATTCATAAAGACAATAATATATACAGTCTTGATCTCTTGGACTACAGGGGTCTAAGAGATTTGTGGTCACTCACCGTTGGATGTAAATTCAACGGTTCACTTACTCTTGCACTCCTTTTAAGAAACTTTTTTGAACCATTAGATTAATATCCAGCGGTGGGTGACCATAATCTCTTGGACTCCTGTGATCCAAGAGATCGGGACTGATAATATATATATTCGCCATGCATCTTTTTCACTTCAAACATTTAATATTATTTTTTTAATTTGTGGGGAACAGGATTAGGATTAGGTGTTGATCGTCGAGGTGGGCCCCTGGAGTACAAATCATTGAGAGAAGTGTGGATACTGCATATCACATATCACATATATATCTTGAATCCAACTTCATTCCCACTTAGCTGGACAATCTGTCAATGCAACGTGCAATGAAAGGCGTACACTTATATATAGTGACAGTTGATATTTATGAATGCTTGTTTACTATTACGAGTATATATGTTTAGACCCTCTCGTATTCGGTAGCAGCTGTTTTGGATTGATCTTTGTGCTTTGTGAACCTCTATTCAATATAAGTAATTTTTTATGTTTGATCTGTGCCATTCGGAAATTGATTCAATATAGTGGTTTATGATTTCTTAAACCCAAGCCCACTCTTTATTAAGCGAACTTAATCCAACCCAAATTTTTTGTGATTGGATTGGTCGTTTCGGTCAAATTAACTCAAAATTAAGCTTATTTTTATGTTTTGGTTCCAATCCGTAACCCAACCTGTATATAGGGGTTTAGAATTTTTTGAACCCAATACCCAATCATTTTTAGGCCAACCCACTATGATTGAGTTAGACGATTCAGTTGAGTTGATGCGAAATTGTGCCCACCTCTAGCCCAAATTATAGGAAGCAATGAGATTTAAATTAATCAAGTGTGTTTATATATGTATCTTTAATTTGGAGGCCACGTTAGGCAGGTCATCCTAGCTTACTATCTATGTCTTTTTAATTTATAAGTATATTATTATTAATATTATTGATCTTAAAATTGTGATAATCTTCTGGTTGATTGCTTCTTAAAATTAAAATTATGAATGAGATTCGTGCAATCTTTTCTTGTGCTTTTGATTAAAGATAATGAACGACGACGACTTGGTTTCTAGCTAAATGTGACCATATGAGAAGCACGCGGAAGAAGATAAACATAATTATTATTCATGGTTTTTATTATTTCTTTTATTGTAGTTGTCAAAATAATATAGATTGGGCTTATTTCCAGAAAAGATGATGGGAGAATCCAAAAATAATAAAGATAGTTGTTGATCAAGAAAAATAAGAAACAAAGGTTAAATACTTTTTGGGTCAGTGGGGTTTACATGAAAATTCAATTTGGTCATTAAGAAAATAATTTAGCCAAATTGGTTATCGTGTTTTCTTGAGTTTACAATTTATAGACATTCCTTTAGCTTCAGTTAAGTGTAGTTTTATTTTAATTTTATTTTAATTTTATAAATGTTTAACACCTTCAGTCTTCTTCCTCTAATTCAACGACTTAGGGTATATTGTGCTATTAGGGTTTAACAAATTGGGGGAAATCTTAGGTTGAAATCGAAATTGTGAGGTATGAAGAAAATAAAAAAGCCAAACCAAATTAAAATGAAATCAACAACCTACCAATATATTTTGGTACTCTATCACCTTGATTACGTCTCTTTGCCATTCGAAGTCACAATACGGTTCTCACTCAATCGATTCAAGCTTCAATACAACCCAAGATTTCAACCCAATATATTTTGGTGACCTTATACCTCATAATTTTGATTTCAACCCAGGATTTTCCCCAATTTGTTAAACCCTAATAGCACTATATATACCTTAACTCGTTGAGTTAGAAGAAGAAGATTGAATATGCTTCGTAAAAAGGAAACTGCACTTAACAGAAGTTAACGAAAAAAAATGGAATGTCTATAAATTGTAAACTTTGGGAAACACAATGATTAATTTTTGCTAAATTTTTTGCTCATTGACTAAATTGAATTCTCATGCAAAACCCAATGACCAAAAAGGTATTGAACCCAAAAAAAAAAAAGATACTGATTAGGAAAAATCGTGCTATGGGTCTATATTTGAAGTATATACATTCTCTTTAGTAAATAATTGATTAAAGACAATGAAACTTATGTTTTGTGGCTAAATAAAATTCACAAATCTACCTATATTAAAATAATGTCCAAAAACATACAAAACCTTACGGGCTTATGATTGTTCTAAAAGATGGATGAGTTCATGCAAAGGGCTTATACGTCAAGAACATTTATCTCTGCACCTGAAGTCTTAGGTTTGATTTTCCAATTTTGACATATGAGGCTGTGATTTGGACTAAAGCCAATGACCCATAATTAATTTTATGGTTGTCCACTGTCCACACAGATATGCAAGAATTCTAAGGGCCTTAGATATGAATTGGGTGCAAGTAGAATTCTTATTTCTTAAAGTTTCAAACAAGTGTCGTTAATTCGGCCCATATTTTCTCATGAGGTCTGGTCTAATCAGGGATCATCATTTGGTCCACGATCTGTGGGATGAAGTGGGTAGCTCAAGGTCCGATGGGCAAAAGTCCGATGGTTAGGTCCACTCGGCCCGGTCCATTCTAAGGTTGGGTAGAGGTTGAGGTTTGAATTTGAAATCTTCGGCCTGGCCTAGCCCGACTAGACCCACCCATTGTGTTATATTGCCTTATTTCCATCCCAAACATTTAAGTAAATGTCTTGTCTTTTTACTTTAATTTAATTTTATATTACTCCATTTACTAATGTTTTTATATTACCCAAATTTTGACTAAGAATGAAAAATGGACTTTCGAAATACTAATGCTTTCAATGATATTTTTCGCGGTTTATATTCCTTACATAATAATCAAACACAATTTTATGAGATTTTAGTATAAAATAGGCTTATTTGTTTGAATACCCCCTGTGGTTTACAAAGTGTCTCAAATTGCCCCATGACTTTTGTAATGGCTCAAATCACTCCCTGAACTTCCATTCCGTTACTAAGATTGCCCCATGCCATGAATTTTCAAAGAAAAATCGTTAACTCGGCTGATGTGGCAAGGGTACTCGAGTAATTTCATACAAATGACAACAATTGAAAATATTTTTATTTCAAAAATATAATTTTACAATTAAAAATATTTTTCCTCTCTCCATCTCTCTTCATCTTTCTCTCTCTGTATTCTTCCCAACCCAATTCGATATTCCCCCCACCATCCCTTAACACCCAGCCCCATCGAAAAACCTAACCCCTTACCTTCTTCAATGAACCAAGCCGCACCATCACCACCACCACTGTCACTTGCACAACACCTACAACGAATGCCAGCATCGACATTGGGATGAGATTGGAGATTGCGTTCACCAAAGGAGGGCGCGGAGCTCAACTGCCACTCTCTCCCCCCAGATCCGAAGAGCCCGAAACTCCAAATTCTTCGTCTTCATTGCCAACGCCACGACACCATCTTTGTCAAGGTCACATTACAATCTTTGTTAAGTCCATGCCACCGTCTTCGTCAAGGCTACGCCACCACAACCTACAAACCCAGCTTGTTGCTAATGCAACGCGACTCATTGTCTTCATCGTCATCCGACTTGAATAACGAGAAACCAAAGTGGCCCAAGTCTATGCAGCCAAGATTTTCAAGATTTTCGGGAGGGAGATGTGTGTATGGAGGTTGATTTAAGATATGATTATTTTTTGCTTAGAAGCTTTTAAGCTTTGTTTGGGTGCTGAGAAAATTTTTGAACTTCTGGAAAGTTTTGATTTTTTTTAATTTCCTCTATTGTAACATACTCTCTCATGGGTCCCACCAATAGCCACGTTGGATGCCAATTTGAGATCAATTGTTGTCACTTGTATGAAATTACTCGAATTCCCCTGCCACATCAGCTGAGTTAACGATTTTTTGT